TCTTTAGAAAGAAAGAGCTTTGTTTTGGCCAAAGATCAGTGATAAAAATTATGGGTCATAACTTTTTACAATTTCAAAAGGTCTACCAAGATCAGCCTTGGTGGGGTCATTTACATCAAACAGTTTCGTCTCATGGCGATATAACAGGTATTACTGCTGTCGAAGATGATTATTTGTCACTTTTTAAAGAAATTAAGAAAAGAAAATTAGATGAGAATACATTTATATTTTTTCATTCGGATCATGGATCCAGATACGGTCCATATAGGCAAAGATATGCTGGAAGATACGAAGAGCATTTACCATTTATGATTATTGTTCCTCCAAAGGATTTTAGACAAAAATTTCCTTCACATTTTGAAAACATGAAGTCAAACTTTAATAAATTGACAACCTTTTTTGATATACATAAAACTCTTAACCATATTCTTAATTTATACAATGACAAGGATTTTAATATTAAGTTCAAGCATAAAAGAGGAGTATCTCTCTTTTCTCCCATCACAGGAACAAGAACTTGCGAATCGACTCCTTTGAAGCCTGAAGATTGCTTATGTAAAATTCCAAAGAACGTTTCAGCAAATGACCCAATAGTAAAAACAGCTGCTTTAGTCGCTCTAACATACATGAATAACTTAATAAAAAGTCATAAAAAGTCTGATCTATGCTCCAAGCTAACATTAGGCGCTATAACTGACGCCTCTGTTTTAATTGAAGCTATCAAAAGTTCTACTGCAGAAAAACCTAAAGATTTAAATCAAAGATACCTAATAACTTTTAAAGTTTTACCATCAAACGGTACATTCGAAGCTATGTTAGATTATTCAAAATCTACAAAAAAATATATATTATCAGAGGGGATAGAAAGAATAAACAAATACGGATCACAGTCAGATTGTGTAGTAGAAAGGAAACTCAGAGGTATTTGCTTTTGCAAGACGAGTAATAAAATTACGTCAAAAGCCAATACGTAGTTTCTTTTTCATTTTTCCTTCCTGCGTTGACTATTTTGAAGAGTTTAATATTCTTTTTATAACAGTATATCAGTAAAATAGTCATTTGAAATAGTTCTTTTATTGTTCTGTAGCTGATTTATATGCCAAATATAAAAGTTTTCACTAAAATACATTCGCTACATATTGATTTTGTCTAAGAATCGATATGTTTATATATAAATATTCAAAATTAATATTAGCAGACTAAACGTAGATGAATCGGAAAAAATTTCAACTCTGTACAGTGTAAAACTTTGCATAGCTAGAGAAAAAAAGACCCAATCTATGCCTTCTCAATAGGGGTAGTCATACGAAACGTTGAAAAGATTTAGATGTATTGTTAACACTGTTTACACATAGAAATTGTAGATCAGAGCTCTGAAATATATTAAATGTTAAATATTTAAAACAGCTAGAAAATGGCTACTGAATTTTATTAACAATTTCGTGATATCTTTAAGTAAACGATATTCTTTTCTATTGTTTGATTAATTTTTTCATATTATTAATCATTTATATATCTACAATATCAATCTCTCTTTCCATTCTCAAGGTGCCTATAAATAGTCTGCTGGCTCTGTATTCTATCAATATATATAATGTATTACTAGAAATAGAAAACTTACTTTCGTTTTTAAAGATAACATTCAATGTGACCTTTCTTTATTAGTTTAATTTCTGAACTCAAGTGCATAATAGCAAATGTAGTATCAGTCTAGTTGACGATTATAACAGATCTCATAAATGAAACAGGATGTTTAACATCCAAATAGCACTACTATTTAATAATTTACAATATAAATAATATTGAATAAACACGTAAAGAAAGATGTTAAAGTGCAAAACAAACCCCGTTGAATCTAGTATATACTAACTTATTAATATTTTCTAGAAGCTAAGAATTGATCATTTTCATGACATGACTTTTTACAATGTTTCACATATATTTAAAACAATAATTTACTCATTTGCATATTGATACTTTCAATAAGTTGACCTATATAATATCATATATTAGTAGGTTAATTGATTTTCTTTTGTCGATTATAAACAATAGAGAATTGCCGGAAACTAAATGGACTCCATTGATGTTAGCATCGTTGCCAAGGAATTACCTTTTTATATAAGGTTGACATTTATCAGGAAAAGTATATTTCGTTAATTCTCTTTGATTTTTAGACTACTCTTTCAAAACTAAAAGCTATTAAGAAATAAAGGGTATACAGTATATTCAAAATATATACATGAATATGATGAGAGCTAGTATTCGTGTTAAAAGGATTAATAATTAGAATGCCTCATTTGAATAGTCCTTAATATAGCTGAAAAATACGTGATTTACTTGTCTTACTAAAAAAAATTTATATATAAAAAGTGTCATTGAAAGCTTTTGACTATTCAAACTTATTATTCACAAAAGCACACGAAGAATAACCGTGAGTAGTTTTGTTGCATTAGATGTCACTACCAGCAAGACTGGTCAATATATTATCGAAAAAAACAAGAGAGAAAATATTGATCAAAAAGAGAAAGAGAAAGAACGTTGAGCTATTGCAAGTAATGATTAGTATTTCCATTAATCTAATTAGTTGAATTGTTACAATCGACTCTTTAACGACTGCAAAAAGAGACGGAGAGTATTTTTTAAATAGTATACTTCATACTGCAAATTGTTTGAGAATATAATAGATAAAATATTGTACTCAAAAGGATTTGCTTGTGACAGATTTGTACAAAACCTCCACAATACTACAGTATGTGTTGTAGTAAAGTAATGCCTATATTCTTCTATATTGGCTGAAAGGTCATGAATTGGGTCTAAGGTCTAGCTTTAGCTAAATATATGAACCATAAAAAGGATATGGCTCTATATGTTTACACCATGTGTCTAGTTGAATAAATAGGACACGGTGTGTGGTTACCTGGTAAATTTTATTCATCATTTATTCGCATGGCACTTTTGAATGATATTCTCATTTAGAGTAACTGCAAGGAGGACTCTATTAACTCTGTAAGTGTAATTACGTTTATATATATATATATATATATATATACAGTATATGGACAACTACCAATCCCCTTATCAGTGGAATGTTCACGCATCATTATTCAATCTTATTCTTTAAATACTTCGATAAGATTGTTATTGATTTTAAGAAGTAACTGGCGTTTTCTTTCTATCAGTTATAGAAAATAATCAAAAGCTTTCCTTAGTATTAAAGAATGATGTTGAAGCTGCAGGATATTGCTATAAACTATATTATTCAGAATTTTCAATGTTTCTTCGCCAATAAAACCATTTGGGAAAGATGGTTACGAATGGATATACCTCCGTTATTTACTCAAATGATATTAGAACGATTGGACGATTGGTTAATTGGTATTCCTGAAGAATATTTAAAATTCTGTACAAGAGCTCCGTACTTTTTACCTAAAATGAAATTAAATTGTAAAAGGATAAAGGAAATATCGTCGTTAGAATTCTTACAAGGTCAACATTTTAAAAAGGTTATTATCAGTAACTTAAAGCAATATGGAATAGAAGATTGGATGAATTTTTTAGAATCATCCGAATTAATTGAATTATCGATAAGAGGATGTAAACTTAATAAAAAGGAACAGGCAAATGGATTCAAAAATATTGAATATATGCATTGTTTTAAACGTTTTAAGAATCTATCAAAACTAAATCTATCTTTTACAAATATTACAAATGCAGAATTGAAATTTATAACAATTGAATTGCATCAAATTGAACATTTAAATATCTCTCATACGCATTTGACGAAACTATGCTCTCTTGTTAACTTTTCTAAATTACTCTCTCTTGATTGTTCATTTCCCCACTGCAAATCTATATATGATTCATATCTTGTACTATTAGACCTGAAACATTTAAGATATTTGGATATATCTAGAAAGACTTCAATGACTTGCGAAAGAAATCCTCTAGACTGCGAGGAAATATTCCTTAAGAAAGTTGTTTGTCTCGGAATACCTGAACATAAATTTTTCTACTATAAATCTTGGTCTATATCCGAATTTATAGATTTTGCCTATTGGAAGGATATGACCCACTTAAATGTATCAGGAGATTGGGAATTATCTAGTGAAAGTGCTGGGTAAGATATTTAAATTGACATACTAAAAATAAAATAAAGCTATTTTTTAATAATCACATCATCATCCCTTTTAGTAATTTCATAAAGAAACACAAGAAACTGGAATTTATAGGCTTATATCGTAAAGGTAGTAGTTACAGAACTCAAAGACCAAAGAATATATCCAGCAACGAGTTTGACCGTTTAACTGTTAGTATTATATACTGTATATATGTATATATACATATATATATATAGCTTCTTTCTAATATATATATGTATATATTTATATAGAGATACAGCGATGATATCGTTTCTAGAACGTTTAAAGCTATACCTCTCGTTAAAGATAACATTCCTATAGTAGAAATACTTGTAAGAAATTTGGTATGTCATGTGGAAATGAGCATAGATGAAGAAAGATTACGATCAAGACTTGAACCGGAAGTGTTGAAAATATCGGAGGTATTCTATTTTTGATATAAAAATTGTTTAATAGATAAGAAAAAGAGCAAATAAATTTGATGTTTCTCTATTGTTATAAAATAGGTCATTTTTTATCAACTGGGACTGTTGAAGCAGACGTTATGTACGCATTATGAACGCTATAGGGAGAATATCTTTGTTCTTGATCAATTAATAGTCATATTACAATATATTGATATAAGAAAATCACCGTATTTTATGGATATATTAAAAACTTGCTACCAAATTCTAGAACTCAATAAAAACTGTTCTATTTTAATGCATTCCTTATCGGGCCTTTTACGAATTCTTCATACTTATTTCAAGTATATTCCAATGGTAAGTTAACTCTTATTGATGATGATAAGTTTTTATTGATTAATATACTTTTACAAATAATTAAAAACAAAAGGTCATTAACAAAAGTCAACTCGTCGAAACGCTATTAAAATTTGAGTTTGAACGCTATTGGATGGAGCACGAGATTGTGTTAATAACCCTTCTAAGCAATTTTCGATATGAAGAGGTTAGGAAGTTGTATTATCTTATTATTATTATTATTATTACATAATTGAAGTGTTTTTGTTTTTATTAATTAAACAGTTTACAAAGGATGAAATTTTATCATTGCTCAAAAGTTTCTTAGAACTGGATAGTCGTTCACAACAAAGGACAACCTGCAAAGCTTTCATCTCAAGAATATCCTACCAAAGTTTTTTCTCTTTTATGTGGGATGTTATTGAGAATAGGTTAAATTTACAATTTTCTAATAATGGTATCTACTATAATGATGAAGAACTGTTACATATTCCAAATATGGAAAGTTTAGTTAAAAGAAAGCAGTTTTACCTGGAGGCCTAGTTTGGCTTATTATTTGTTTATTAGGCGGACAGAAACAAGTAAAAAACTGTTTATTTATTTATTTGCTTGTTTATTGTATCTTGTTAATAATACTCTCTATTTTTCAAATATGATATTAAAAACTTGCGAAAAGTTCTTTAAAAAAAAATTCAGGTCCCACCGAGATTTGAACTCGGATCGTTGGATTCAAAGTCCAAAGTGCTAACCGTTACACCATGGGACCGTTCACGACATTTGACGACATATATCGCTAGTTGGAACGAGCTAAATATTTTTTTTTTGCACACACTAATAGTGACGTTAACATATTTATTCATTCTATATCGGTCGTCTTCAAGAAAGTGCTGAAACGTTAAATACTTGTGGTTTTAACTATTTCGTTTGATATAGTTATCCTTGAACTCTAAGTAGGTCAAAAGAAAAAAAAAGTAAAATTTTTTATTTATCATAGTTTCAAAATCCAAAAAATAAGAATGGAAATAATGTAACAAAATACTAGTCACATGATCAGCCGACCAATGAGTCATTGAACAAGGCGTTCTAAACAATTAAACTTGCGAATAGATCAAATTTAAGTGTAACAAAGTAAAAGTATAGTAAAATCAATTTAATACACAGATAAAGGTCTCCATGACCTAGAAGAATACTGATTTAATAATTGAATAATAAACACGAATTAATTTTTCTTTATTAAAAATATATAACCAGAGGTAAATGCTTTTAGTAGAAAATATAGAAAAGTAGGAGAGATGAAAGATAAAGATATCTAGATCGTTTTAAAATTATAATACTCTTACGGTACTTAATTAAGATACTCACTTTATAATATTTACAAACTATCCGTATAATTAATTATGCATAAATGAAAGAAAACGCTCACTACTATTGAACATTAAATATTCATACTTGTGACAAAACAACAATATAGAATTGTATACAAATTTTATAAAAACTGCATTATTAAGGAAATATTTCAATCTTCTGTTGAGAAAAAAAGACAATATATACAGAAAGAATATAATAATATTTCTGTACAGAATAATCAAATTTTACATAATTTCACATTTTTGTTTGAGATTGATCAATTGATTTCTTCTTGTTAATGTCCCAGGGGCTTTCTTGTGACCAAGAACATCTGTCCTATCGCCATTAGTGAACTTTCCACAGTAGAATCTAAACAGAACGTTATATGCTAACGTTCTGTTCACATTACATGTTATGAGTGAATGAGTGTCAGTGTGTGAGCGTCAGTATGTGAGCGTCACTTAAGAAGGGAGTTTGACTTAGCCCAGAGCTGGGACAGTCCAACTTGATGTTATGTCACGTCGTTGATAACGACTTATAAAAGGGAGTGAATGTAATAGAACGGTGTGAGAGACCAAAAGAACATCAAATACAATTTATACGAAATCCTTAGGGATTTCGTGCTATAAGCGAAAAACAAAATCTTATAAAGAATCAATAGAATCATCATTGCAATTCTCAAGTAAAGATAGATAATTTGTCTTCATTTTAATTTCTCTTAAAAACATCTTGCTTAGGCCAAAGTTGAAAAAAACTTTAATTTTCATTAAAAAAATGATGTTCAAATTTAGGCTATCGGTACTGTGCAATTGGGTGAGGGTTATAATAAATTAATTAGTGATGGAAGCTTTAGATTACACTCTCAAATCATGAATGCATTAAGAGATCAAAATATACTTCGAATAGTTCAACTAACCTCATGGTTAATAGTTTCTAACAACCATTCTTACGGAGTTAAACTAAAATTTAAGGAAAGTTCATCTATGTCGGAGTTAACAATCACGTAACCCCTCAAAGGCGAACGACAAAAAGGACACTGAGGCTTAGCCAGACTTACCAAGCATGGTTTGCATCCAACCATGTGAGCACAAGGCAATCCTAAACAGTTGGAAAGAGCATTACAGCAAATGTTGCAGCTCAAAATTTTCATCGTGTCCTCGAAAATGTCTTTTTGTGAACGCTTGTTGGTAGCATGCTCATGCTTGTTTCTTGTTTCTAAGAAATAAACATATCCTCAATTGATTTCCCATATGGTATTTTAAAGAATATTACGCATATCTTTAGTTTCATGCCATATTCTCTAAACCACGTATTCTATTGCGTTGCTTCTTTTTTCATGGAGTAAATTTAAACTTTAGCTCCATCTGGTTGATAAAATTTTTAAACTTTCTCCATGTGTGACTAATGAAAAAAATATATTATTCATTTTGCAATTTGTTCAAAGGAAACGGTATAGACTAGCTGATGTGACAGCTATAGTCATTGCTCTTCAGATGGTAGTTGTTGAAAGATGAAAAGATAAGACCACTCAAAAGAAACAAATACATTTTGTTGAGTGTTAAAGAAGAATATGATAGACAATATAAAATTAACGTACTTGATTTATTTAATATGTTGCCTTATTGTTGGAATCTTATCAAATGTAATTATACTATTGTGTTACCCTTTTAAAGCGAAAAATTCAACTTTAGCAAACATTTTTGTGAAAATTTTAGCTTATGCAGACCTGTCAATATGTTCCTTATGTATACCTGGATTTGTTATTGAATTATTCCTTATTAATAAAATAATATGCGAAATTTTGGTTCTATGTTCAACAACAATCATAGCTTTTGGATTATTTACTAGCATGGCTGTAGTTCTCGAAAGATGGTTTGCTGCATTTAAACCTTACTCTTTGAAAAGGAAACATATTTATATTATAAATGGTTTGAATATTATTATTACTGTATTGTCAACATTCTTTAATGTAAGTATTGGATCAGAGAATCTATCCAACAACGAAACTGTTATTGTTAATTGTTTTAAAAGTAAATTGCAGGGTTCAAAATTATTGAATAGCATTAGTTTAGGCGTTTTTTCAATAATTATTGTAGTTGAATTTTTTATATATATTCATATCTTTATATATCTATTAAAGAAATTAAGATTATATAAGAAAAAGAAATTAAACTTATTAGTTAAAATCAAACAATTGAAAATTGTTTTTATGCTATTTGGAACGAATTTAATACAATGCGGAGTTTGGATACCTTCTTTATTATCGATATTTCATACTTTCTTCTATACTGAAATATTATCACATCTATTCCTGATAAGTAACTGTACAAATTTGTTTGTTTATATTATATTTCATGATAAGTTTCGTTCAAGCATCTACAATCGTTTTAAAGAGTTATGTAATACGAAAGTAAATCCTAGAGATACGACAACATGTAGAAGATATTAGTTTTACGATTGATGCGATATTTCTTTTAATTCTTTGTTTTACTAAATAAAGACTAAAACCTATTGGTAATTTAATTAATTACATAGTTAAGTAATTAGGTAGTATACTAATATATATATATACTATATATATAGTAGATCGTAGGAAGACTAGATTAAAATATTTATATCTATTAGTATAAGCTATATTGAGAAATGTATTTTAAATCTACGTTGTACACAAAGAACTTAATCTCTATTCCTTTTTAGGTTAACCTTTGATATAAATAATAAATATGATGTAATTGTTGTTATTGAAATTGTTAAGAAATATTTATATAACGATCTTCAAAGTAAAGATGTAATTTTCTTTTATAGACTGGTTCTATACTTATGAAAATGAAACAGTAACTTATTCAATAGTACTGAAATAATAATGTACAGATAACAATTATACATTAATAATAATGTATATATAGTTGCAATACGTCTTAATGTTGTTTAGAAGCCTTTGTAATAGAGAACGGATGTCTTAAAGTAATAAGATGAAAATTAGCTTATGCCAAAGAAACATTTCCATGAAGGAAATATAATAAATAATTCTATTATTATAAATGAAAGAAAATAAGGTAACGTTAAAAAGTTAAATTATAAATCATTGGCATAGAAACGTTAGTAAAGAGTGAGTGAGTGAGTGAGTGAGAGAGAGAGAGAGAAAGACTACTCCATCTTTAAAATTTCACTCTTGAAGTAATGAGTAATGGTTCAATTAATTATATGATATATCTTATTCTTTGTTTCTCAATTGGAGTTTTATCGAACCTTGCAATTGTCTTATTCTATCCGTTTAAAAGTAAAAATGCAATTTTAGTAAATATATTTGTTAAAATACTTGCTATAGTTGATTTAGTTATATGTTTTTTATATATTCCTATATGTATTATTGAAATATTTCTTAGAAATCGTTTTTTTTGTGCATTTACACTTTGGTTTGTAACTCTTAGTATAACGTTCAGTTTATTATTAAACATTGCTGTATCTTTTGAAAGATGGTGTGCAACATTTCAACCTTTCCTTTTAACAAAAAAGAAAATTTACACCATAGTTATCCTTATATTTTCAATTACAGTTCTATCCAATATACTATTCACAGTTATGGATTTAAGATATCATTTCGCAATTACAACTTTTAATCATAGTTGTTTAACGGATATCTTAGCAAAATCCTCCACAACTTCTGGAATTGGTACGGTAATCTTTGCAATAATATGCATCTTCCAAGTTGTAGTTTACATAAGAATATTTGCTTATCTTATTTATGAAAGAGAAAAGTTTAAGAAAAGGAATTCAACTAATTTTACAATTATGAAAAAACAATTTGAAACATTATGCATGCTTTTTGGAACTACGTTCATTAGTATTCTTTCTTGGATACCAACAATTATATTTATTCATACTCCAGAAAAGGAAAATGATATTCTAGAGCATTTATTCCTAATTAATCATTGTACTAATTGTTTTATTTATCTTATTTTTCATAAAGTATTTAGATCTCGTGTAATTTCTTCTTTACGAAAATTGAATCTATCTAGAGTAGATATTTTAAAACCGTCGCAATCAATACAGGATCGTTACTGATTTGAAGTGTTTAGTGTTATTATTGGTTTGATTAACCTACCTCAAAGTTTCAAGCAGGTTTGTGTGTTTTGTTTTGTTATATTAAGATGAATATGTGACTTAAAATTTATTATAAAAAACATTAACAACTTACCATCAATCCAAATATTTTCGAAATGTGAAGCGGTTTTATAAGAATTTGACCATTTAAAAGCGTATATTTTCCCTTGAAAATCGCTAGTTCCACACCAGCCATCGCAAAAGCCAAGAAGAAGTGGTGTAGATGATACAGCTCCAGAAATTACATTCTGTCCATACTTGACACCATTTTTATAGTAATGAGCAATTTTACTCTGATAATCTATTGTTACTGCCAAGTAACTAAGATGTTTCTCTACTTTTGAAATATTTGCATTAAAATGATCCTTCGAACCAGTTGGTATTGCTATTGTCGTATACCCGGATGATGGAGTAATTTTATAGCCATTTTGGTCTTTCTTTAAATATGAGTACGAAGCTGTATTTAATATTGTTGATTCAAAATGGACGATTATTTCCAAAGTGTTGTCACTAGTTGGCTCCAAATCAGAGTCAGACAAGATCTAATAGGTATTTTTGAAGCTTCAAAGAAAATAATCATTGTTTGATAAACAAAAGGGTTACCTTCATTCCGTCACCGTCGCCTACATAGAGTGATCCATCATCCATATATTTCAAAGTTGAGCCCATTACTTGACCATTCTTGTTTTTTCCGCTAATATCAGTAACCTTTGATCCAGCGGCCAAAGAATAATTAGACTTTATATTGAACCAATCGAATAGAAGGACGGTATTCTCATCTTTAAAGAGCCATTGCCTTCTTGCTGTACCTTATATTTAATTCCTTTTCATAATGCAGTTTTATAATAATAAAGAAATCGTAAAATTTCTACCTGTTTTATATAATATAAACACGCTAAATATTTTTAAAATTGATATATATAAGTAGGTCATTGAATTTGTCTCAATTAGAATATTATCCGAAAATATACATTAGAAAAGTTAGACATTCGAATTTAGGTCATATTCGGAACAATGATTGATAACAAATGACAAACTCAATCGGGATACAAAAAATCATTTCGTATTTGAACATTCAATATACTTTGTGTTGGCAGGAAAGATAAATATTGTAAATGTATGGTCAATGTCTTACTTATTCTCATAGTTATTCCATAAATCAATAAAAATTTAATACAGTTATATCTGTTAAAGGTTTGTGTGAAGCCTAATAAATTCGAATTAGAAACGTCTCTTCATTCTAGCGGTCATTTTTTAGTCTAGTTATAACTTACTTTAACTATGCTTAATCAAAATTCTACTTTTTTCCTTAGAGCCGGTTAGATATACATTGAAAATATTCAATATAATTGAATAATGAAAACGAATTAATAAATCGACTGATTAGTCATTCTTATAAGCGATTTTATACATATTTTTTATTAATATCAAAGGATTATTCAAAATGTTATCTATATCATTTTGTAAAATATTTAGTGATATCTTTGCAGATGTTTCCCAATGAAAAGACAGTCTTTCTCAATTCTTCCGAAAGTTCTCTATCGTGGTATGCATGAGAGGAAAATTTGAGAAAAGTATGAGAAATCATCAATAATCTTCTTGTATTTTTACCATCTATCTATTAGTTATGGAAAATGTTAAATATTTATACTTATCTTTATTTGACCATAAGCTATACCTCTCTATAAGATACATTAGTTAAAATTTTATATAATAACTTGATACAGTCGACAGATGGAGTTTGTGTTATTTGTAGTATACTGTTGAGTATCGTTGCCATTGATAGTTTTTGATTTTGATTAAGCTTTTAAAATGAAGAAAATAACATATATAGCTATCTATCTACTTTAAATAATTAGCCATTCATCTTTTCCATAATTGTTATTACAAGATTGGAGAAAATATGGATAGCTATAGGTAATAGGATAAAGGATGTTTATTAAATATATTTACCATATATAATCCATCATTACAATAGTTTAATACCACCATCCACATATGTATAAAATATGAATTATAATAATAAAAACCTTCTAAAGCTTGAATTGATAATTCAAAAAGTTTGAATTTCAACAGTAAAGGAATGAATATTTTAGCCAATGCATACAATTCTAAAATTTCAATTATTTCCTTAAAGATCATTCTACTTGAATTATCTTCTTTTGAAACTCTTAAATAGAATAATTGAAATTTATAAGAATTCATTAAATCAACCAAAACCTAATGTTTTAAAAGAAAGATATATAAAGATAAAAGATGAAATTAATAATAATCCTTACTTCTATTAGAGTGGTTTTCTCTACATTTACATTATCTTCTTTTTCAATTAGATTCTTTAGTAAATCATTTTCGTTTTCCCAACAATGCGACTGTAAAGCAGCTAATATAATTGACCAATTATCCTTATTTTCCTTTAGTATTTCTTTCAATAAATCATAATTTAAGCGAGAATTTATCTGTTTGATATATAGAAATTGAAATGACATTTAGTTATTTCATAATTATTATTTAACATTTTTACTCGGATGCTATTAATATCTTTAATATATCCTTTTCGACCTCTAAATGTCACCCAAACGTTTGATTCTACTTGATAGAGTGTGAAAAAATTCAATTTTGCATTCCTTTGAATAAATTTTCTGTTTAAAAAAGGAAAAATACTCTTAGGAAATGGCATTGTTCAACAAGCAATTTTTGGTTATTTACCCTATTGTATTCTTGTCTATAGACCATTGATAAAATGCATTAAATCTGGTTAAATATCTCCAATAGCCATGGTTCAAAAGTGTCATAAAACCATCATCTTCCCAAGATATTTGATGCTTTTGAACAATGTAAATCTCTTTAAGAAATGCCAATTCATTAAGAGAACTAAAATTCTTAATAATAATATGATTTTTACAAATGGAATAATAGAATATTTTCAAATTCTTTAAATTCTTAATAGGCAATAAATCGTTAACATTTGTTCCACTAATATTCAAAACGTTTAAACGTCTTATAGAATGGCAAATATATTGAAAGTGTACATTCTGTAAGTCGGTAAGGCTAACATCCAAAGTTAGTAGATTCTCGAAAAAACTGAGACAAAGCACCTCATTTATCAAAGCGTAACTATTGCACTTGGAATCCTCGTTACCTTGAAAAATACATTGCCTAAGGTATAAATTTTTCACATGTTTTCCATTGACAAAACTTAACCAGTTTTCAATTTTTGAACCTGTTAAATGTTCCACATAAATTGTCTCTAATTGATGATTTCTCAAGAATTCCATTGACGATGGCTTAACAATTCGGTTACAATGTAAGGTGACATTTCTCAATGTAACCTTCTCAACAGAAAAATATGACAAATAACTTTCTTCAATGCCTGTGCTCTTATTATCCAAAAATTCTAATATATCTTCGGTTAAACCATGCGGTAAATAGGTGAGACTGTTGTTGTTCAACAGTAATTTGTCTAAACAACCAACTATACTATTTAAAGTTAAATACTTTAATGAGTGCATAAATTCAACCGTCTATGCTTTAACCAACAATTAACAGGAAAACACCTGAAAGGGGAATTCATTAGCAGACAACTTTTTCAAGCGCATGCGTATTGTTAGAAAATATGAATTATTGAAAATAAAAGATTAACGAAAGATTATTCATATTTAAATATCAATGAATTGTTAAGAAGCAAACGAATGATTGTAAAAATTACATTTATTCTGGTATTTTTATATAAATTTAGATATAATTGATTTAAAAATTAAGTGTTTATTAAAGTAATTCATTTAAACTAAGTCAAGAATCCCAGATGGTCTAGGGGTTAGGATTCCCGGCTTTCAAGAAGTTCATAATATTTCAAAGATCCCGGGCGGCCCGGGTTCGATTCCCGGTCTGGGAGATTAATTTTTAAAAAATAAAAAACAATATTACGTAATGCTTATAACTAGAGATTGCAACGTTTTGAATATAAATTATCCAATGCTATACTTTATATTGCTGGTTTGACTGAATTTTTACTTATTGCATTTATATCAAAAGATCTAAAAATAGATTTTTAAGCGTTTCACTATTAATTATACGATAGAGGTTTTTCAATCAGATAGATTATACTTAAGTCTTCCCAATTAAAACTTCATCAAATTTTTACAGTTTCTTCGTTTTATACTTCATAAGTCCCAGATGGTCTAGGGGTTAGGATTCCCGGCTTTCACCCGGGCGGCCCGGGTTCGATTCCCGGTCTGGGAGATTACTTTTTGTTCTTTTTAGTTTTACATAATTATTAATAATTCAATTGTTCAATTAGACTATTTCATCATAAAGAAATGTTTTCCTTTCATTTTTCTCTTACTTTTAAATACGAAGATAAATGATGTTTCTTCCTAATTCATTTTAATAACATTTTAGAAACTATTATAATAATTTATAAATCCCAGATGGTCTAGGGGTTAGGATTCCCGGCTTTCAAGAAGTTCATCATTCTTCAAAGGTCCCGGGCGGCCCGGGTTCGATTCCCGGTCTGGGAGATAATCTTTTTTTTCATATATTAGCATTAATAATAACGTACACTTTGAACTCGTTTTGTAAATGTTTAGAAGGATATTGAATATGCTTGAATGGAATGTTATTCTTGTGACATTGAAAAAATTGTATTCAAGGTTAAATTTCATGTTATTTTTTATAAGAAACGTTTTTTAAATGATGACAAGTAGAATTGAATAATATTTGATTTTGAATCTGTATTTAGTATAGAAGATTTCCGTCAGAAGTCCCAGATGGTCTAGGGGTTAGGATTCCCGGCTTTCACCCGGGCGGCCCGGGTTCGATTCCCGGTCTGGGAGATATTTTTTTCATAATCTTATTTTACAGATAAAAAACAACTGAAATGTTAACCTATATGTTTTTGTCTCATATCGTGCTATACAAATTGACGCTAAAACAACATAAATAAAGACTGACAGCCATTTTTTGTGCACCACTCTAGCTTTCCACTGGAGAATGATCAAAAGAGTACAATTACCGTCGAACTACATTCAGTGTAAATCAATGCTTGTTTTAAACTACGTATAATCTTTATGACAAAGAAGATTACGGTCACTCTGAAATTGGCTTTGAATGGTAAACTTTAATTTTCTAATGAACATTTAATTATTATTTTTGCTCTGTTTCAGAAATGAAATACAATTAAAGAGGAGCATTACTCTTCTCAACTCTACGCTTTTGACATCTTACTTCTCTCTTGTCTAATATCGCTATAGATTTCAATTTAAATCTTTTATTTATCATCCATTTTGAAGAGTCGACCAATAATACTATCCTCTCCGTTGTAAGCGCTTGAAGAAACAGCCGAAGACTTTTAATATTGAGAGAAAACAACCGATGTATGGTAATACTAATCTAGAAATTTGTTTCTATGTACAACTGATATATTTTACCATTCTGGAAATTAAAAAAGATTGATCTTCATAAATAAATGCGAGAGGAGACAACTTAAAAATTGACTGATATTTTTTTAATTAAAATACTTCCTGTTTTCATTTTATTCTTCATTCTATGTTTCGTTTAGGATGAATTGCTTTATAAAATGTTTTATTATACATTTATTAATTTTATACGATAAGTGTTTAGGTGAGAATATTGTTTAATAATCCTACTGCAACAAATAGTTTTTATATATACTGTAGATATAGGTATACATTGTAAAGTTTATATTAAATTACCTAAATATTTTAGTTCATGCAAGAGATCAATGGCTATTTAAAGATAATGAAACAGTTTTGCTATTCGATTGGTTTCAATATCATCAAAAATCAAATATCGCTGATTTAACTGTTATTCAAGATCAAAGTGACAGAAATAAATCCGGTACCATTTACGGTACTAGTGCAACATTTGAAGCAGATGGCTCAATATATTTTGATAAAGGAGATAAATTATTGGTTAGTACGTTCACTATTTATTTTAATAGAATATATACTAATACGGAATTTCTTCTCAAGATATCCTCTGATAGTGATTTAGAACACACCGGAGATTATACTGTTGAAATAATTGTACAATATGATTTTCCTTTAGATATCGGTACTAAATCGCTCTATTGTTTCATTAAACATAAACATACTGGTTTTAAATTGTCAAAAAGTGGCAAAGGACTAATTCTAATGGCATACAATAGTTTGAATTATTTTCTAATAACTGCACAGGCTCCTAAATATCCTTTCAGCTTTCTTACTCTAAGTTATAATTCTAATAGAAAGGAAGTTGATTATTATCAAGATGGTGAAAAAATTGGTTCAAAGATCGTTTTAGGACGAGTATCTGATTCAGATTTATATATTGGATCCTGTTCAAGTTTATGCAGTCCATTTGATTTTAAAGGAAAAGTGTATGCGTTCAAATGGACAAATTCGTACAAAAATAGCTCTTATGTAAAGTCGAATTGGGAAAGAGGTATACCTAGATAATATAGAAATTTAAAATATACAAATCATAACAAACCATCATCTATATACATTTAAAACCCTAATAGATACAATTTACACAATTCTTAAGATAAACTAATAAACAGATAGGCATATATCAAATGAATAATAATAATATATAATGTATTATGTACTCAAATATTCTCGTAATGATATCATTAGGTGTATTTGAGTTTTGATTAGGAGTTATCATCTCTTCATAACACAGGTATTTGGTAATATTATTATTTATATGCATTTAATACGTAGGAATTCGTTTGAACTATTTTTGAATAGATATTTAACTGATTTCCAGAGTTGGCACACTTAAAAAACTCTACTGTTGAAGTTGATATTTCCGTGTTTGAAATCTTTGAACAATGCTTTTGAACTTTATCTAAAGTTGATTCTAAAACAACATCAGGCGACAGTTCAAAAGAATCGGCTTCAATTTGTACGTAGATCCAAGGATTAATTTCTGATACACTAAAGGAAATCGTATCCACAAGATACGATTTACATTTGGTATTACCTAACAATAAGATAGAATATTTAATATGCAATTGTGCGTTATTTCTTTTTATGTTTTTCAATTACCTCCTTTATAAATAAAAGATTCAGCCATTAAATCAACTTCAGCGATAGGTTTTCCTTGAGTTGTTAAAATCTTTATTTCCTTTGTAAAAGTAAAATTGAAGACAACGCAAAGAGTTTGTTCGTATCTGAAATCAGTTGGTGTTTCTCCCTTTAAAATATTATCCGTCAACATATCTCTAACGTATATTTGGTTTGTTGTTAAAGAAATTTTATCATGAGCGACTGAAGTGAATAATAACACGAGATAGTTGTTTTTAATAAATTGAACTCATGAACAATTAATTTACCTGTGAGACAAACTGAATTTATTCCTATAGCATTTGTACTGATAATCCATTCTATGTTACTTGGAAGATTTACTTCATATGCTGCAGAGGGATTAAAATATATATTATCGTAAACCATAGTATCAACGTTTGAATTATCTTCTAGTATTTTAATAATGGAATTCTTTTTGTTGTTTACGTTTGCTAAGGAAAAAATTGAGGGAATGTAAATATCTTAAGAATGATATAATTCTATAAAATTATACTTTTAACAGGATTTGTATCTTCACCGGCGTATATATATATTTCAGCTGTTTCCAGGACAACAGTTGTGTCTCCAACCTTGTCCCTAACGAGAGTGAAATATCTACCGCTGACAATTTTTTCACACCAGAGAATGTGCGTTTGAAAATAGCCTAGAAAGCTACTGGCAAAGAAGTTCTTAATACAATATTGAATATCAGGATCGAAATATGTCTCTGGAGTATTTTTCATAGTTATGTATATGTCTCTTGTTCTCCGATAAGAGATATCTTATAGAAAGAAATTATAAATAAATGATTAAATATCTTAATCGACAAAAAATTTTTTACCTGCCCGTCTTGGAATGTAAACTATTCCGAAGAGTTTTAGTACTTTTTCAAAATCAATACGAATATAAGGCCTTTTCATCATAACGGTACCTTGACATCGTGTAACTGCGTGAGATGTGTACTTTCCATCCGTAGCTTGATAAGCGTATCTAACGTCGCAGGATTTCCCGTGATAATGTCTCTCCATTTTCGGTTTGAAATAGCTGAAAGCTGTATAACCAAACAGTAAACATCATATAACACAAAAATTTCAATTATAATACATCTTTCAGCTTCAAAGGAACCAAACACTTGAACATCAGCCAAATTTAAGCTGTCACCGCTTTCATTAAGTTTTAAGGTTACGAATGATCCTGTAACAACGTTTAAACATTCGAAGCATTTATATTCTGAAAATGCTGTAGAAACTGGACGTTTAACAGTTCCAGTTGAAGCTATACATAAATTCGTTTCATTTGCAGGAAGATCCGATACGTATATCTTTATATCTTTCAAATCTGTATCTATTATTTCAAGAAAATACTTGAATATCAGCCATTTCAGTTATTTGAATACAGAAAAAAACTAACATGAATCAAAATTGACATTTAACACGCAAACTTTTTGAACATGATAAATTTTTTCCAAATCAACAGTCCACCAAGCTATTTCGTTTGTTAATCCGTGAGTTTTTGAACATTTATTCGGTGCCTATAGTAAATTATGATTAATCCAAATGAAAAGAGAATTTTTAATTAAGTTACCAAGCAATCAATGCTGATTTTATCATCGTTTCCGTACATAGGATAGTTATTAGAGTTTGTAGTATACTGATATGATATTTTGTTCCTCGCAAGATTTTCAGCCGCAGAAAATCCTTAGGAGATTTTAGCTTTGTAAAAAAATATTACACCAATTAAATAAACAGAAACCTACCTACTGTTAGTATGAAGAGATACGCTTCTGCTTTCATTTTCTCACTATTTTAAAGGTAATAGCAAGAAACGATACTATTAGAAGCGCATGTTGTCTTTTATGTCTTTTATTAGAAAGTAACGAATTTTATGATTATATATTGAAGTACTGAGGTAGATAGTTGATAAATTAATAAAATAAGAAGAATTAAGCGTCGAACTCTTTTGTTTAACAATTGATCTATTATTCGTTAAAATTTATTAGGCAAATTATTAATGTGTTACTGCAAAATTTACAATAATAGCATAAGATTAAAAAACATTTTTCATTATATCTATAAAATGGAACTTTTATACAAGGTATTATAAAAAAAAGAATGAAATATCACACAAACATTGAGAGCTTGTTCAATGAGCTTATGAGTGGTTGATGTTTATTGGACAAAGTATACGTTGTGGAATGGCTACACAATGAAATTTTTTTTTCACTTATCAATAAATAATAGATTATTCATTTATTTTATAAAAAATTTGTCACTTTAGAGTTTTGCTGAAAAGACTCTTGTACTATAGAAAAAAAATAAACTCCCAGACCGGGAATCGAACCCGGGCCGCCCGGGATCTTTGAAGTATTATTAGCTTCATGAAAGCCGGGAATCCTAACCCCTAGACCATCTGGGATGTTTATATACTAATTACAAATAGTAAATGACGGATTAGAATGAGAAATAGAGCAGCATTTCAATACATGTTTTTAGTTAAATAGATACAAAAAAGGAAAGTAATTTTACGGTTCATCTTTCATTAGGAAATCATGTGGAAAATCATTCCCCAACATATCATTCATATCTAAAATCCAACAAGATCTATTCCCTCTATTTTCTATAGAACTTTCAATTAAATGTCCATTGATTTTAATACAACTTTTCTTGTTTTTATTACACAGTTCTATTCTATTTTTCTTAATTGAACCCAACAAACCACTTAAATGTTTATAAACCTTCCAATTATCATTAACGTATATATTAAGGTATTTATCGCTTATTCTATCGAATATATTAATTATCTCAATTGTAATGTCTATAGAGTAAAGGCTAATAGTTAAAGCATTTTCATTAATAGTTATACTAGTTAAATTCTCTCTTAAATGTTCATTTTTAGTAATTAATTTCCAATTTGTAAATGATCTTTTAAATATTTTAAAACCTTTTGTTGTAATAGTTATATTACCATATTTGGATATAATTTTGATATGATTTATATAATGATATCTAAAAATTCTCCCATAGATTGATAAAATACCTTCCACCTCATAAATATTTAACCATTCTGTTGGAAAACTATAAATTAGATAACAAACATGAAAGTTTAAATAATGATTAATAGTTTGCATGATATAGGGAAAATTTTCTTTATAATTTTCAACATTTCTAATAATAAATTGAATGTTTTCAACATTTTCAAATGAATTTCCTTTACATTCTATATAAAGTTTCTTTGTTTCATCTCCTTCTTCTATATCATCATTTAACGCTTTAATCAATATTGATAATTCACTTTTAAACGTATTTTCAGTTTTACCAATTAGTATTGCATCATCGGTATCCGATAAATAGACCCTTTAGTCAATATTAGTGTTAAAAACATTAAGTTTTCAAATATACTCTTAACTAATCCTTACCGACATCTCCAATCTTGTTCTATATTAGATATGCTAATTCTAACAATACTGTACTCTCCCTCTAATAGTTCTGGATAATAGGATATCAATAATCGGGGTGGTGAACTATTGCTGTTGGCTGTAATATTGTTTACTTATTGGATTTAATATATCTCTAATCAAGTAAATAAACATACGATTCTCTTGAAAATTGAATAAACTTAGAGGAATTCCATAAGTTTTTATGGAATTATTTGTTGTATCGTAACAATGCATCTTAAAAATAGTTGAATTTTTATCGTTTAAGAAAACATCTTCTATTTTAGGAGAAAAAGAACCATTTGATAATCCTTTAGGAATATTATATATATCTTCTTCAATTGAATAATAATCCCTACAAATAAGATATTCTATTGATATTAAAATTTCCACGAAAATTAAATTAGAAAAAGAGAAATTAACAACTTGCAATAGCCTTTTCCGGGATTCGTTAGGTACTTTATATTTATTTCATCATTGCTGTACAATATGGGATTGACCACTATTTGAAATCTTGATATTGGATAATTAGAAAAATCTAAAAGAGTTTCATTATATTAATCTAATAGAATAGTTTATATATACATGTATATATATATATATATATAGTACTTAACCAGTAGAATCGATAATTTTAATAACTTTTATAAATTCCATAGGCTTATTGTCGAAAATATCTGTACAATTTATTACGATCTTTGTTTCGGAAATGTTCTTATCATTTGTATTTTTGATCAGAAGTGCTCGAACGTTTCTAGTTAAACTTGCAGCTTTCATACGATTTCTTCCTTTAATCTCAAATTTATAGAAGACATTATCTCTATAAACAACTCTGTTTACATAAATTATTATTATTATTGAAATATTAAGAAATATTAATAACTTTCTTATTTATTTAATTGAAATAAAATACAAACTCGCACAAACCATCACCATCTAAGTGAACTATCGGATTATAAACAACATTTCCCCTTACTAAAGTCTTAGGTATATCAAAATAGATGTTGAGCTTTCCCACTGATTCATTAGCTTGATTTCAAAAGATAATATTTAATAATTTTACATTTTCTATTTGTTATATAGAGAAAAATTAGAAGATTTTACCTTTTATTATATTAAATGTTAATAAGAAAACTATGAAAAACATCTTTTAATGTTCAACTGTCTGCAAAAGAATTACAAATGACTGAAATCTGTAGCTTCTCTGTTCAAAAGTACAATAAGATTTTATTGAATATACATAGTTGATAATTGATTTTATTATATAAAATCTCCTTTCATAAGCCTATTTTTAAACAAATTTATTTTTATAAAATGTCATTGAGGCAGGTTTTCAACTGTTTCATCTTCAAAGATTTTCAGTGATGGAACTTTTGTACATTGAAAGTCTACTTTGTCTTTCGTAGAAACTTTTTTAACTCTAATATAGGCATTAAGTGTGTTGACGTCATTATTTGAATTTTTAAGTTCTAGTTGAATTTTAACATGGCCCTCTTCCAATTTACCGTTCAAGGAATATTCTTTTGATTCAATATAGGGTTCCGTTACATTATTACTGATAATTGCAAGTCTTCTAGCTGTAGCAATCGGTATATTTTCACGAGTAATCCAAACTTGTAAATCTGGATAAATTGGGTCACTCCAGCCTGAGAGAATTACAATTACTTCATTATCACCGTTACATTTAACCTCAAGAGGCTTATCTGAACACTTATTAGTGAAGGAACAATGTTGTGGTGGTACGTTAATGTTTACACATTGGGTAACGAAATTATTGATTGGACCGAAATATTGTTTAACAATTGAATTCAAGTTATTTGAAATATTTCTTCTCTTAAACACAGCAAAACCGCCAGACGACGACTTGAATTCAATGCAGAATCTAAATATTATGACAGCTTATTAAAAAAACTTTAAAATATTTAGAATAACTTTACATTTCATCGCTTTTAACATTGGAAAAATCATAATTTCCAGAGCAAATTACGTTTATGACAGGGTTATTTTTTGAATAGATTAATGGCTTACAGTTTGATTCTTTAATCTCTTTCTTATCAATTAATTCCTCTGAAAACGTTTACATAATACATTTAGTTATAGTTTATATTGTTATTAATAGTTACTTGAGTGATAATCCCTTCTAGTAAAGATTATATTCGCATCAATTAAACCAAAATTTGAGATTACTAAAGTAAACTTATCATTATTAAAATTAATCGAGGTATTAATACTTTTAAATGCAATTTCCATAAGATAAGAGACTTTAACAGGTATTGAATTAAATTGCGACAAAGGAGATTTGTCTATACACCAATTATTGTCGTCTTTTGAAGAAATTTTATCTTGAGAAGTTATTGTTATTTTACAATTTTTATATTGTGGCTTAGTGTTATCTAAATAGAAATAAGGTATAAAAGATAAGAAACCGTTGTAAAGTTACATATTTTAATATTTTAATACCCGTTATAGCCATGTCACAATAGTGGCCTTTGCTAATGAAATTCTCTTCACAGTCGCAACGATCATTATCTTTTTTTATGTTTGGCCAACAAAAAGCGTCTAAATTCAAGATAAAAATCCAATAAATAGATAACAATATAAGGAATTTAATATACAACCTAGACAACTATGATTATCAGCAGATAGAATTTTTCCATCATTACAGGAACAGATATAGCCATCCATTTTATCTGAACAATTTTGTTCGCAGCCTCCATTGTTATTACGACATTCGTTTCTTTTTTCTAACCATGGACAAATAAATGAACAAGGCGATTGATCAGTCCAATCTTTCCAAGGGAACGATTTGCATAGTTCACATGTCTGTTTATTCGTTCTTAAACAATCACCGTATGTAAATAATAAAAATAACGTTGTAATAAGTTCAATAAACATAGCTTAATCAAAGATGTTGAATCTTCCTCTTCACTATTTCTTAAACATATACAAGGAAGGGATTTAACGATCAATATTCTATCTTTTCAATACTTTTAGGTGAAAAACATGAATAATAGGCTTTCATCAAATTTTAAAAGCCTATAAAATCTATTCAGCTATTACTAACCATCATAGTATTTATTACGAAACATTTAATTTTTGAAACAAACAGGCATTTAACTTGCCAGTATTTAATATTTTATCTATAATCAAAAGAGGGAGGACTGTCTATCGATCTATGACATATCATAGTTTAACAGCATTAATATGGTTTTTTATCACAACCAATTATTGCTTGTTTATTTCGATTGAATAAGTATGTTTTATCAATTATTACGTAATACTGTATTGATATTGAAGTGCAAAAATAAAAAAATTAATCTCCCAGACCGGGAATCGAACCCGGGCCGCCCGGGACCTTTGAAGAATTATGAACTTCTTGAAAGCCGGGAATCCTAACCCCTAGACCATCTGGGATTCTTGATACTATTTTTAAGGATTTAGATAATTAAAATTACTATCTGAATTACTAGTATTTTAGCGTTGTAGCACATCTGACTGTACAGTATTACAACTATTACAAATATACCATTTCAATGTTTGAAGAGTAGATCTCACGGAATTGCCCATTCATTTACTTTCTTCATTATCATTATAGTGAATCAAATGACAGGAAAACACTCTATAATCTCTTTTTTCGGAAAATTTATAGGCTGAAAACTAAAGTATCTAGAACCAAAGACTTGTATTCTTTCCTTTAAATTCCTTTATTGAATTGAAAATTGCAATTTAGAATTACTAGATAGACGCCATGAGAAGATATGCTATCTAGACATTTTTGGGGGATTTTTACTTTTAATTATTATATAATATATATATATATATATATACTGTATATATTTACAATAATTAACTGTTTCCTTAAATCCGGATGTTCTCAAACATTGCTTGAAGTTATATGACATTTATGATGCTTACATTGTATTGAGAATGAACAAACATAATTTCAAATTTAGTTGTATTTGCCTGTAAATTAACTTTTAAAACTAACAATATCTCTTGAACATTTTGTGTTTTGATTTATAAAAAGAAACTTTATATTGAAATAGACTGTGAATAATAATAAAAAACTGAAAAAGTAGAAAGAAGGAGTACTTGTTCTTTAATTTCAAGCGAAGAACAAGAGAAAAACAATACTTTAAATCGATTTTTTTATAAACTAGATGAACTGAGGTGGCATAAAAATAAAAAAGAAATTTTTGTCACACCTATATAAGAGAATAATTGAGGAATTCAGTAAAAAAAAACTGTCTTTTTAAAAGTATACATTAAAATGAAGAATATATGTATTGCTATTGAATGGAATTGTTTACATATGTGCTAATTAAGTTTGTGAGCTGGTTGTATCTATATTACGTTTACTAATCTTTACTCCAGAACTTATGTCTGCAATTTCATTATATTTACACCTTAACCTCATCCAAAGTTTGTCAAGTTGATTCCTAAAGTGCTTATTGTATAATACAAAAATGAAAAAATTTGCAGCTGCATTAAAAGAGATTGCAGTCACTCCAATGCCGAACACGTATTTATACGGTTTTTCGCACTCGATTAATTCAGAGTTTGGTAAAACTGCAACTAATATTCTTCTTATTCCATTGAGCATTTGAGTTACAATAAAAACAATATTGACGATTAATAGAGATTTTGTTAATCCAATCCTTCGACCTTGAACACTTGTGTTCAATTTCTAAGAAGAAAGATGAGCAATTATTAATTATTAATATTTTTTAGCAGATATTAAGAAAATTGCTATTTATTCACCTTTAATATAAGAACAGTCATAACCGATATTGTAATAATTGGTACTATTAATTGAATGACCCAATATTGAACGGTTACGTAAACTTCGTACGCAAATTTCTTTTTCAGTTTTGTTGGTGAAAATAACCATAAATCGTTTTCTTCAACGTAAATAGGCATATACTCCCAACTTCTACCAAGATTTATTACAGTCGCAACAATAAAAATAGCGATTTGTATGCATAATGTCATTCTCTTTGTTAATTTCCATGAACTATGGGGTCGGCAAACTGCTATATATCTTTCAAAAGTTATTACTATAGTTTGCCACGAACTAGCCATTAACGAACCGGTAGTAAGGGTTGAAAATCCTTTAAAAATTCTATCAATATAGTTATAGGTATCCAAAGGAGACTGTACTTTAAAAATTCGTCCAGTACTCCTAAATAAATCAAAGAAACTAATAGTTAAGCATAAAGTTATTAGAAGAATTGTATCCGTAATTTCTAAACCAATTAGAAGGTAAGTTGTACTTAATTTATTCTTTTCACTCATTAAAGCTATAATTGCTATTATATTAAATATTATTCCAGTCACGTTGAAAATAGAACAAACTATACCGACAATTAAATATGAGAAAATTTCGCAACTTTTCCATTCATCTGTCGAACTATTTGACATCATCGTGGAAAGATGGATTCTCTCACAAGTCACTCAAGGGTATTCCTTTTATTACGATATGCAAATCAATAGGATGACGTCACTTCTTTGTATAGGTAATTAGTAATATATTTATATATACAGTATATTATACTGTATATATTGTATATATAAGAAAAATCCGTCTAAAGAGAAGTAATATTTAATGGAAATAATAAGATTTTTCATTCTAAATTGAAGAAAAAAGTAAACTTTTCGAATGGAACTAGTGGATTTTTTTTTTATTTCCACCATTTTGTTGGTATGATAAAAAAAAACAAAAAAAAATTTCTTCTGTATGTGTATGTATATGTGTATAACAAGTACAATTATGATATAAATAGAGAATATGTTATATTATCATCTATTCTAAATAAACCGCCAAGCATATATCATTCAATTACTAGAATATCAATGAGTGTTCTCTTGCTTTCAACATCATAGATTATATCCTTAAATGTATAAAATAATACATATACAGGTTTAGTTTACCTTCTAATTAGCACACCTTAAAGTGACTCATTAAAAATTATAAAAATTAATATAAAAGTTAATCATATTCTCTAATAGCAAATAGGAATCAATTTTTATGAATTTTTTACGTAATGTAAAATGGACGGTACGTCCTTACCAGTCTATAAGTCATTTTATCTAGTTTGTGAAAAAAATGTAAATTTTCAACAGTTCCTGTAAGTGAGGTCCCATGGTGTAACGGTTAGCACTTTGGACTTTGAATCCAACGATCCGAGTTCAAATCTCGGTGGGACCTAGTTTTTTATATTCCTTTTTTTATTTTTTCTTTATCTTACCATTTAGGAATAACGTTCAAATTTAACATTTTGGTCTTGGAATGCATAATTAATTCTAAAGAAAAATAAAAAAAAATTTACCACCGAAGGTCAAGGTCAATGTTGCAACAATACTATATTGTCTATTGTACGGCAAGGCGGACAAGTTCTCAAAGTGTGGGATATAAATTGTATACACAATATAAAAAGCTTAAGCTAAAGAAATACTAATACATTTCCAGTTTTACGAAAAATGTGACTTGATAGATTTTTTCTGTCGCCATTTTGATACTGTGTCTTTTGTCTTGAAGCAAAAGAGAAAATTTAGTCTTGACAACCATGATATTTAGGTTTAACATGGTTTTATATAGAAAATAGCATGTTAAAAATAAATCGGGAAGATAATACACATTATTTAAATCAATGAATAAGAGTACAGCGCAAACCTCAATAAGAACCTATTTTACTAACACAAGCATAAGCGTGGTCCCATGGTGTAACGGTTAGCACTTTGGACTTTGAATCCAACGATCCGAGTTCAAATCTCGGTGGGACCTAAACTTTTTTATTTTTCATTTTTTCCTAACCAAAATTTATTATTTCTACTTTAATTGAAAATTAAGGAGATCGTTAATGATTTTATTGAGATAATTGAATCAATTTTTTAATAAAAAATCCAATAGATTCAATATTATCGGCAATATCATCTTTCGATTTGACTCTTTGTAGATTCTCCGACTTGAGATAATAAATAAATGAACAATCCGATATTTTCTTTAAAAAAAAGATGTAATAACTAGTTTTCTATTAATATTATTAAATTATTATATTTACTCTAATTTGTATAAATGAGTGCATATTTCGAAAAATAAGGTCGTTATTATGTAATTGTATTAATTTCTTAAGAAATTTCTTTAAGAAGGGAACAGAATGATTTAATTGAAAATTTGTTAAATTGAAATTAGATAACGGTATCATTTCATCCAATATTGAACAAGAGCAAATACAGTATTGATGTAAAGTGGATAATGAGTTCAAAACTATTGAAAAATGAAAATTGAATGTTTGAATGAAAAATTGAAAGAAAGTTAACCTTCAATTCTGTTGTTGATTTTAAAGGAAGTAAATTTTTGTTCTCTGTAAAAGATAGAGAGAGAAGAAATATTAACAAATCAGTTGAATGTTATTTATATTAAAAAATCACAATTTATTTCTTCTTTTTATCTTTTCTTCAGTAATAACTGATAATATTCTTATTATTGAAAATAATATTAAATTATATAATGAAAAAAACCCTAATATCAGTATTGATATCTTAATATATAAACTATTATCTATAGAATAGGAATAATTAGTTAATATCACTTTAATATCTATAAATGAATAGTTAATTAATTAATAATAATATTTTAATAGAATTTTATTTATTACAAACCAATTATCAAGAAATTTAACCAAAAGAATATTAATTTTGGTAAAAGTGATAAATATTTAAATGAGTTCATTTGAATTTCATTTTCTTTATATAATTTATAAATATTCATAAAGAGAATTATAATAAATTGTAGAAAATATATTATGAATATTAATGAATTTAATATATTCAGTATATTTCCATTAATAAATGAATAAAATACAAAGAATGTTGTATAGCAGAAATCTGATGTTATTTTAAATGTTTGCATTGTTATTTTAGGTAGAATTGACATAATTATTGCAA